AATTCATACATAAAGCCCACCAGATTATAAGGTGCACTGTCAATTTTTGAGAAAATTAAAGGCTTTTAAGAGTGCCGTATAGTCCGGAAAATATGGTAATAATGACGGTCCACTTGCATGTTCTACAAAAAAAATGTGCTTTGGTGGCTATCTGACGGACAAAAACCAAACCAGTTCCACGTATCTGAAGTTGCACGTTTTTACAAACCAATTCTGGTTCATCCGTTTCATTCACTGATCCGCTTTTTCACTTCTCATTCTCCGTAGCCGCTATGCTTTTTCCACCATGTGCGTACCAAAACAAAAGCACTGCGCATGTGCATTTTACCCATATTCTATCGTGATATTTCATTTTCTTGTCATTGTAGCTTGGCTGATAGGAGGCAACCTTTCTGCAAACAGTTGCTGTCTGACTTGGATTGACTAAAATCACTCTCAGAGAGATTGTTTAAGGTTTGAAAATAATTGCTGTCTAATGTATAAATGCAGATGGATATCCAACATGTTGTCATTAGTCTGAATGAGTCTTTGTTAGTGAGCACAACTTGAAGGGACTTGACGCAACAGGCTGTCAGGTGGTTGCATTCTGATTGTATTCCTATAGAACATTAAGGTTGTTGAGCACAAATGTAATCGTTAAATATCAATGTCTGCCTACGCAGACAGCAACATATGTCTGATTTCTGATGATTTATCATAATTAATTGTTACATTATCAGAGAAATTGCATGTAATTGCTATCTTGACGCCATTTATTTGCATGATGATATCAGATTGATTTGGTGAAATGTTGGTATTCCTGGCAGTCTCATTATATCGTGATAAATATTTTTGGTCATATCGCCCTGCTCTACTGATAGGTCAGTACTGTAGATTTCTGGATCACTGTTATAAAATGGCAAGAAATAATAAGCCATGTTGTGAACATGACCCATGTTCACGTTTGTGCATGAAGATGAGAGAAGCACAGGGAGGATTTTAAAGCACAGGGTTTTAATTAAAAAAAAAAACAGACAAAGGGAGCTTGAAAAGGTCTTTCATATACAGTTTATGAAATAACTGAATTAAAAGCCTGTCACGTCTTCATCACACTGGTTAAATGACACAGACGCAACAGAAAAATGGTGATCAACAAGGCCGATATCGGCTGATGCCAATGTTCACCTGGCGCGTCCATGAGTCCTTGGTATGCTGATCCTATCTTGAACTACGCGAGTCATAAAGTTGAAAAGATTAACAATGTATGACTGATGCGTCATTTGACTGGAAAAAAAAATTGACCTGAGTGTTGATTTGAACATGTTATTCATTCATGTTTTGTTTTTTTCCAGCCTCCTGTTTTGTAACAGTTTCTGTCACATGTTTCTGCGAAGGCTACTTGTAAGTTGAGCTGGCTACTTCCTTATTTGGCTTTTTGGAAATTATAAATGGCCTCTGTTCTCCATTTCTAACTGGTTATTAGACATATTTATTGATGTGGTTTCAATGACAAGAATAATCTGCATATTAAGGGTGGTCTGACTTCTTCCTCTTAGTATTACTTAATTGCGTGTATCCTTCAATGTTGAGCTGATTTGACTCTTAACCCTTTTCCATTGTCTCTACATTATTATTCTTTCTGTGTATCTTGTTACTGACCATGCATCAAACTTTGTCACTGCAGTTTCTTCCTGCTGCTGGGATTGAAGGCAAATATATCACATAGATAGGCGGCAAGGCTGGCAGCTGGTGATTGTAGCTTTCACGTGTCTTTTTCTGGAGCCATATGATGCAGATGACATGCCCCAGACGCCAGTGTGGACACAGTAGTTGGGTTAAAAGTGATTCTGTAGGAGGAGGAAGAAGTCCTCTGACAAGTCTGACTCATCCTCAGTCTAATCACACTCTTTATTTTGTTACTCAAGTTAGTCTGCCATTAAACAGCATATGCTGGCTGTCCTCGTTGTCCTCATCAGTGTTAAAGAGCAGAACAACAGGCTACCACAAAGGACTAATTTCTGTAAATGGAGGCTATTCTGCGTTATAATCCTTCCACATTTTATGAGTCACTGGCTCCCCTCCCCCCTCGTCATTCCTGTCATTGGTGGAGTCCATAAATAGACACCTGGCTGCCATGAAGGGACCAAGCACTGAAGTAATACAAAAAGAAGCATTTGAATGGATGAAAAAGGCATCTGGAGGCAGAGAGCATGAGGAAAGAGAAATGATGTGTGGGAGGATAAGTGGATGGGTAAAAGAGGGACAGGGAAAGGAAGGCACAAAAATCAAATAACTATTTTTTATTTTTTGTTAAATTACCATTTTATGTTATTTGTGCTTGTTGGGAGATTTTCTGATTAATATCTGTCCAATAATCTATAGAATGTGGGTTTTGTATTTATTTTAAAGAGTATTTTCTTTAACAGAATATGTTGCGTAATGTTACCTTTCAAAGCCAGCCTTCTACCTGAGGTGAAAGTAAAGACATTTTTAATAACCACTTGTGTATCTTTTAATCTAAGAAGTGAAACATTGGAGTAGTGTTAAATTGAAAATATGCCATCTTCCCTGCACCAAATTTTAGCACATTTTTCTGTGTGACGGGTATGAGCATAAAAGGACTCTTTCCTTCCCTGTTTTTCTTTTTCCTCAGCCTCTTTCACCAGACATACCAAACATGGAATTTGAGTCTGCATTCAACAGTCAATTTAGCCTTGTACTTGCAGTCTCAGAGTGCGCACACAACACAGGCACCATTCACTGAAAACACAGGATTCATCAGAGAGGCACAGAGGTGGTATCTGGCCTGCCATGGTCTTACAGTGATAGTCACACTGTAGATTTGGTTAAGGGGTCGTCAACATGTACATATGTGTTGCTCCAGTGATACAAAAAAAATGTGACATTTAAGAAGTAAATATTTAAAAATGTGATTTTATGCAGATGCCTCTAAAGAGGATGGTGTTAGGCAGACTCTCACTATTGGTTCATTAGAAAACTGCTGCAGGGATTTCCATCACATTAATGGTCATTGTTAAAATTGAGTTTTTCCTTCCCACTGTCACCAAGTGCTTGCTCAATGAGGCTATCTCATTGTTGGGGTTTCCTCTATTATTGGAGGGTCTTGAAGCAACTGACTGTTGAATTGAAGTCCATGATTTTCACTTACAATGCCCTACAGATATATCAGCGAATATTATGTATTTGTTGATAATAGGGCATCAGCATTTAGAACAGCCAATAAATGAAAATTCAAAGTAAAGAAGACGCATGTAATTAACAATGTTTTGAGTGCTTATGTTGAATAGTTTGTCCACCAAAGGGCATTCGGTGACTTCCCTGTTTGGCAGCACACGTTTGGAATGCCACAAACCTGCTGATCTGAACAGAGTTGGGCAGAGGCTAGACAAATTTGTGACAATAAAATAAGTTTATTTTTTAAACTTCATTCTCATGTTTTTTTTTTCACACAGACTCTTAAATAGCAGCACATAACAAATGTTTTTATGGTTCATGTGTAAAGAGGAAAAAATATCTGCTGATTTATCAAATTTTTAATTGGCAGATATTGATTTTAGTCTTCTATTAGTCAGGGTCTACTTGCATAGATTGTGTGTTTGTTTGTGTGAACAACGATGCCAGTGATTTAAAAAAAACAAACAAAAAAAATCTAATTTATAGTAAAACTAACAATTAACCAGTTCCTACTGTATAAGCATGCACATGTGACTTTATTTATATAAAAAGTGAATTAAAACTGGTAATAGGATGTAGTTAGTTTGTGACAGTTCTCATTACTCTGACCTAAATTTACTTCTCTTGTATTGAAGCTTGTGTCTTTTGCATATGATTAGGTAGAGTGAAGATTTAAGATTGGATGGGCCCCATGGGATTTTCTGGTCTTTAAGTGGGCTGCAGTACTCTTGATTTTGGGGGTGGTTGTACTAAACTATTAATAGAACAACACAATCGGACTCACATGTACCTATGGAAGCATTAACATCTAACATTCATAGTTAAATAGAGGTGTTTCTCCATAGAGACAATCTTGTGTGTGTGTGTGTGTGTGTGTGTGTGTGGATATGATCCTTGAGGAGTCTTATACACTTTTACTTTTCTTTTTCTTTCTTTTTTTTATTTTTTTAAATTAAACTTAATTAAAATTTGTGAAATTGAGTGAACAAATACTACTGCGTTTTAATTACACCCAGTAGATTTAGAATTGTGGTTAAACTGTCTTTTTAATTTTTCTACAAGTGACTGCAGGTCTTATAGGATGAAAAGGCCATAAATAGGAGTGTGCAGTAGGAGCCATCTGCTACTGTTTCTCAACAAAGTGAGAATTAAAATGACAACAAAGGAGGCAATAAGTGAAGAAAGAAAAGGTGCCATTGGAGTTTCAATAGAAAAGAAGCCACATGCATGGTGTACAGGGTGCTCAGAGTGTGAATACTGTGATGGACTGGAACCGATATCAAAAATAACAAACAGGAATGGAGGAAGCGGAGATTTCATTGCATCATGAAAATGTCAGCTGAAGTAGGAGAGGAACCTGTCTGTCTGTTTATGGACATATAAACTGTAGCGCCTGTTCAGCAAGTATCTGCATTCAGCCATGCCATATTTCTTATTCTCGTCAGTGCTTGAAAAGAGAAGCCAGCCAGGTTTCTCTGTGTGGGTGATTTATGATTTTTATTTATTTATTTTTTTCGATTTGTAAGCCTAAGTTGAGAAGGCGGCGCCTGCAGAGGTGTGCGTCTGGAGAGCAGTGAGCGGGAAGGAGAGACTTACTGTTTGATGTGTAACAGAATTTTTCTTTTTTTTTCTGAAAGTTACCAAAAATAAAAAAAGAAGGCTGATAGATTTAGTGGAGCTTTGTTCAAGTGTGGACTGTTTGTATGTGTTCTGTATATTTGCGGTCATAAATGTTAACATTTATTATGCAGAGTGTGTGTTTTTGTTTGTTTTTGTTTTAATCAGGGTTTCTTTTTCCTTTGTCTTTTCTCTTTTCTTTTTTTTAGGTAGAGGTAACTCCACTGCAGATGAAGGAACATGTTGGCTATGGACCAAGGAGTGGTGGAGGAATGGCTGTCAGAATTTAAGGTAAAGCTTCATTTTCTGTATGAAAGTGTTTGTTTGGGCAGGGAAAAAAAATACTAAAAAAAGTCATTTACCTGTACATACTCTGCTTCTTATTATTGACAGGATTTATTTCACACATAAACAAACACACTTTGAAGTGCTTCGCTACCAGAAAATTGCACGCTCCTACTCAAATATGAGCATTTGCTGTTAGGTGACCAGTACTAGAGCTGCGGCTTAGTGACGAATATTAATGAAGGAGCAGATGAGATTTATTTATTTTTTTCTCCTGTGTGAATGTGTGAGGACCAATCTGCTGTCATGTCTGTAAAGTTGACCTAATATAACCAGCTCAGTGTGACAGACAGTGATTGTGGTTAAAGAAGCTGTCAGGGTCTCTGCAGGATTTCACTGCTATTAAAACGTCATTTCAGAAGCAGCAAAACCAGACTATCAGTCTGCTTTGCTGCTAAATGGCAGATTTTATTAATAAAAATTTAAAAAGCAATGATATATATAATTTTCTTTTTTTTGCAAATCAGTGTAAATAATATGAATTTGTGTTTGCTTTTCAAACTGAAATGCTGTAAGACCTAAATGTGTAGCATGTTAAACTTCAGCTGGTTACATATGTGTTTCAGACCCTTCCTGACAGTGCCGTCTCCACCTATGCTGCCTCACTAAAAGACAAAGGTGCCCTGGTCCCTGCACTTTACAAGGTCATCAGAGAGAACTACAGTGACGTATGTAGATATAAATCTTTTATTAACTTGAAAATTAGATTGTAAAAGTTTGACCACCCGAACCTTTAACCAGTACTTGGTATTTAGTCATGTGTTCAGTCCGACCATTTACCTGCTTTGTTTTTGTTATTGTTATATTTTTGCTCAGGCTTGATAATCTTGTGTTTATGGATGTGTCAGATTTGCAAACACACTGCGTCCCTCAAGCAGTGCTGTGTTTATACCCTGATCTTATCGTTGAACCGTAGATGCTAGTTGCAAAATTTGTTGCAAATGAGTTGGCAGTTCTTGTCTCGTGATTTTTACTTTGTTTTTTATTTTAAATGTTGTGGCCTAATTGTATGCCATGTGTTTTTTCTCTTTTGGATATGTGTCCCATGCAGTTACTAGAGCCAGTGTGTCACCAGTTGTTTGAGTTTTACCGGAGCGGTGAGCCGCAGCTGCAGCGTTTCACGCTACAGTTCCTGCCAGAGCTCCTGTGGAGCCTCCTGTCCGTCAGCGCAGCCAGAGACCCCCACACCTCCGGCTGCATCGAGGCCCTGCTGCTAGGCATTTACAACCTGGTGAGGGAGAGGGTGAAGCACTTGTTGCGGTTGTTTTCTAGTTGCAGAGATGAAGCTCACGGGTGATCGGTTTTATTTATTTTTTACTAGAGGTGAGCTGCTCTGGTTGACGGCAATAAAATGTATCTAGTGTTTTAAGTGCACAGTAAGGAAAAACACTAGAAAAGTCCTTGATCCTTACCAAGTGGAAATTATCATGCAATTTGCCAACAAAGAGGACTTAACTGCTCAACTATTTCAGGGATCTGCGTCATGAGTTTTGAAAGATTACTTTCTGCCCTTTCTGCCATGTTAGACAGCCGTGACAGGAAATACGGGGGAGGAGTGGTGGAAACAGTGACTTTGCACATATACGTACACTGATGGACAGCACCTTGCAAATGCCTTTTTTTCATTTGCAGATAGATGGGAGTATTAGAAGTGATTAAAGTTTGAGTTGTATATCATCCTTTTCAGCTCCGAGTGATCTATCAGCAAAGTCCACTGTCTCCTCACTTCCTCTCTGAATACCAGAATAGGTCAGCTGTCACTCAACATACTGGCTGGTTCCCATTAATCTGTTTGACATTAACATGCACATAGAGGGGCACCAAAACCCCGCGGTTTGTGCCTGTGTGAGCACGCATGCATACATATGAGTGCACACCAACAAAGTGTCAGTAGGGAAATGAGACCCTCAGGTTTATACACAGCCACCCACACATGACTGATGACTGTGCTCGAAGAGATCAGCATACGCTCTTTAGAGGTTTGAGGGCAGACGCAGATGGAAAAAGGGCTTTTTTATTTTTGCTTTCGCCCACATAAGTTTTCCCTCTTCCTGTCTTTCTCTTTTACAGGAAATAGTTGATAAGGATGGACAGAGTAAGGTGTTATCTTTTACCGTCCCTTCCCTCTCCAAACCCTCAGTTTACCATGAGGTGAGTGTGTCCTTCATTCAAAGTTGTGCCAGGGTTGTTTCTGCAGAAATGTACTTACATAAACTGTATCCACCTCTAGCCTTCAACTATTGGCTCCATGGCCCTTACCGAAGGAGCTTTAGCTAACCATGGGCTGAGCAGAGTGGTGTACAGTGGGCCTCACCTCCAGAGAGAAACCTTCACAGCACAGAACAGGTAAGACAGTCATGTTGGTTTTAAAATGTGCTTTACCTGTAGCAAGATGTCAGTCTGTTCGTTTTCAAAGTGGCAGCAAACACCAGCTAATTAACAAAATAAGAATGCACATAAAGGAAGATGGAAAATCTGATCAAAAAAGGTACTTTTACTTATTCATTTGTGAATGCATGCTTTGTATTATAGCCTAAAAAGGACATATTACGTTTAATAACAAACTGGCTAAAACAGATTCATGATGACTTGTGTACTGATGGGGAATTAAGCTGCTGCCATGGTTTTTATTTTAGGGTAGCTTCAGCTGTGGCCTGTGGCAGTTGTCTCTGCCTTGTTACATTTAAACTTGTTATATTGCCATTAGGGTTTCTTAAATTATTCTAACTGAGATGAAAGACTGGCGGCCATGTTGGCCTGAACTGAACGTCCTCTGCCTTAACCATTTTTAATTTTAACATATCGCTTGTTTTCCAGTAGGAGAATTCTTATTAGACAAAAAAGTGGTGCATTTAAAGATCCCACACAAATATTATGAATGTTTTGGTTCTTGTTATCCTAATCCTATCATATCCTGTACAGATGGAATTTCAGGTTTTAAGATTTTGGTGTTTCTTACGTAACGTGCCATTTCAAGGGTTTGTTTGTGTTATTGAGATTTGAGGTGCTGACCTTCCTCCTGCTTTGCTACAACGCCGCTCTCAGCTACATGTCCTCCACCTCCCTGCAGTCCCTCTGCCAGCTCAGCTCCAGGTAAAATATATAAACACACACACGCCCACGAGCATTAGCATTTGTGGGTCACTACAGCTGGGTCAGACGCACACAAACTGCTTTCCAACTTTATAGCTTGTGTTGCTGAAGTTCTAGGCAATATTTTATGGAGGCAACTTACAAACACACACCCACACACGCATGCGCGCACATGCGCGCACACACATACACACACGTTTGCAAGTTGCTGCTTATCTGATCCTCTTATAGACTTTGCTGCCAGAGAGAGCCACGATATCGCTATTTGGCAAAGAGCTGCAGTGTACACACATCCCAGCTCAGTAATCTGAGCATTGGTCTGCTGAGCTAAAGAGAAGTCATCGGCCTCGATTTCTGCCTAACTGTTTGCTGTGTTAGCAGCGCTGTACAATGCATAAAGCTTCTAATATACAGTACAGGTGTTACCTCATGCTTTTTGACTCCTCTGAAGCTTGTTAGATGCAAGGTGTGGTTTAACTTAGACTCTTGCTTGGTGAGTTTCACATCAGCTCAGCTCGCCACACAGTTAAGTAAATGGCTTTAATGGTGCTGCAGCTAAGTGGCCCACTGGAGTGGTTTCTCTGCTTCCATTCTTACTCATCTAAACCTCTCTAATGTGTTTTTATTGGTTATCTACCAGGGTGTGTATTTGTGGTTACCCACGGCAACAGATGCGGCGGTACAAAGGCATTAACGCACGGCTCACAGTCACATCAGAGTTCCTGGTTCAGCTCATCACAGGGATCCACTACGCCTTGTGAGTACAAACGCACACGCCAGCACACAGTGAAAGTTCTCATGGCGTCACAATGTCAAAGTTGCGTTGTTAAAAAGATTCCACAGAGATTGGGTACAGGAAGCTCCTGATACTCGTTAAGATAATTAGTGCAGACAGTTTATGTTCCAAGCTTACATTTTATAAGTGATGTGAAAATGTAATTACAATCTTTTCTGTTGTCTCAGCTAATTTCTTTAAATTGTACTTATTTCAGCATGTCAGATTAAAATAAAATGATAATAACAATAATCCCTTAATCTGTTTTAGACTAACAAACTGTGTGCGCATGTGTGCGCACATTTCTGCCCCTGTGTAGGTGTAATGGTGAAGTTGACCTGGGATCCAAAGCACTGGATGACGTTCTGTATCGAGCCCAGCTAGAGTTGTTCCCCGAAGCCCTGTTGGTGGGTGCAATGATATTTTTCTGCCACTATCACACCTCCTCTAAGTGTGTGTCTGTGTCTTTAAGTGTAAGAGAGAGGGGAGAGCATGTGATGGTTGTGCACATGCTGGCTTCTGGTTTTGTTTCATGCACGGCACAGTATACGGCATTGTCTTGGTGTGTGTGTGTGTGTGTGTGTGTCAGTCAGAGTGCAAGCAGAGTGTAATCCCACGAGATTATTTACATGCTTTCCACTCTGCTCCGTTAAGCTATAATCCTTGCGGCCCAGGGAGTAGAGGATTGAACCCGCACTTACAGTATTACTACACAGTTCAAGGTGTGCTCCTTCACAACAATCAAAACAAACAGCATTTACACTCATATTAGTAACAGTGGTGATGGTTTATTTTATTTTTTTTCCCGTGTAAAGGAGTTGCACATGTGATACTGTGGAAAGTTTAAAATGTCAATTTTGTGTTGTCGGTTTCTGTGTTGCAAGTGGAATACACCAGGTGGCTGCTAGCTTAGCGTGACGTGGTGGCGTGTCCCTCATGAGACCAGTGTGCCGAAGCCTCACAGACAAAAGACATGTTGTGTTGTGATTATGAGTCTTTCTGCCGTGTGTTACGTGCTCGGCTGTTAGGAGATTATTAGTGCAAGTGCCCCGTGAGGAGCACTAGGAACAAAGATTATTGTATAAAGACTTGTGAAATCCATTTCAGTGTGACACACAAGTCTTTGTTTTCCTTCTTTTTTATTTTGCTTCTTCCGTTACTTAATTCCTGCATGTCTACTATGTGCAAGTGAAATTATTGATGAGATGTTGTTGGATTAGCCACTTGACAGAACATCAGCGTGTACTTCATGTCCATCCTGTGCTTGGTTGATGGGGTCAATTTTCTAATGTGGTTGAAGCAGGGATGCTCTGACATAGTGTCTGAATATCATATGTTGGCTGATATTGGTCACCAGGAGCAGAGCTTCTCCTATTATTATTATTATGTTAAGTAGAATAAGTTAGTATCAACATCAGCTATCAGCCCAATTGAAGGCTCGGTGTGTGTACATCCTAAGTTGTGCTTGCTATACATTAGTACTGTTTTATTTTTTTGGTTGTTTTTGGGTTTTTTTTGTTTTTTTTTTTGTGCCCAATAAGGGAAAAAAGATATGGAAATGAAAGTAGAAACTTTCTGTAATTTTTGGAGCTGTAAAATAGCATACACTTATAATATCGACAGCTTTGTAACTTAGCTTAAAAACTCTAAATTTGGCAGTGGACAGTAAATCCTCGGCACTTGATCTTGCATAAAAACATAATTATAGTAAACACTTTTAAAATGGTAAAAATTCTGCTTATGTTATTTTTGCACTAATGCAAATTCGCACTAGCTTTCGATAACAGTTAGTTGTAGTAAAGCTGCTTCAGCAGAGTTTTATGCCACCTGAGCCTGAATGCAACATGAGACTGCTGTATTCTTCCATCAGTCTCAGTTCACTTCATACTAAGATTAGTGTGTGTAAAGATGTTGGGGCATAAATCGTTTTTGTTTGTTTTTTTGGGGGTTTTTTTTAATTAAAAAAAATGTCTGAATACAGCTGGTGTTAAGTGTAACAGGTGTCTGACTAATGGTTAACCATGACCTGGGACATAAATTTACCATTGCCTTCATAAACCATAACTCTCTTTAAACCCAGAAATTTTAAACATTACCTAAAAATAAAACTTGAACTTTGAAACCTAAAAGAGCAAACATAGACAACAGGCTGTAGTTTGTCTATGAACTTTATTACATTGTTAGATGATTGTGATAATATAACGATATCTGCTGTGCAGCTAAGGAAGCTTTCTGGCAGAATTGGAATCTATTGAACTATAATTAAATTTAAAAACTATAATAAAATTATTGGTTTTTGGGTTATTTTTCCATCTTGATGGGTGCATAATTTCAGTGTGGCCTTCATCTGTGTGCTGGCTTCTTGAACTATCCACTCATTCATCAGAACTTTGAGAACCCCCATGATCTAAGTCTCAATGTCTTTCTCCTAAAATGTGTTACAGAGTAATAGACTGAACTGTGAAGCAGTAAATGTGTGATTCTTGTTATCTCCAGGTGGGTAACGCCATTAAGTCCTCACTGCACAGTGCAGCACTGAAAAGCAACAATAAGGAGGGTGCGCGGAGTATTCAGGTGGAGATCACACCTACCTCCTCGAGGATCTCCCGCAACGCTGTTACCTCCCTCTCGATCAGGGGACACCGCTGGAAGAGACATGGTGAGACGCATACACAGGCCTAACGCAAACTTACCAAACAAGAGTTCCTACACGCTTCTCTCATGTTTTAAAAGAAAAAGGTAAAACCAACAAATGAATTTAACACCAAAGGAGAGAGCAAGAGGTTTAGATCTCATCATGCGCTTTCCCCTTTTTCACTGTGTGACAGTCGACGTGTTGTTGTCATCCCTCATGGAGCCCCTCAATATCATAGATTGCCCATCCTCAGCTTTCTAACTAGTGCCGTCCCTCTCCGTCTTAGAATCTGCTCATTGAAAACCACCGCTTCCTGTCTGATTTCTGAGAATACTCTTGAGATGCTGGCAGCACAGGGACAGAACAGCCTGCCAGGCAGACAGATTCAGCATGCCACATAAATCAGATCAGACAGAGTGCAGGTAGTGTTTTTAAAGTAGGATACTGGTGGAAAATTTGTGTGTGCTTATCTTTTGTGCAGTTTCAGCCTTGTGCCGAAGACTTTTATTAATATTATAATGACCACAGAACAAATGAATCAGACTTCCATTACCCTCTAGAGTAAATGATGGCAGCCTCTTTGTGGTGCAGAATTAGGAGAGGGCTGTTCTCTTTTCCCAGTGTAGCTACGTCTGGGTAAATTACAGCCTTGAGCTAGTTTAATAAGTAGGTTTCACATTGAGTCTAACGCCTGCTTTTTCTGTCACAGATCATACTTTTGTGAGTTTATATATAAAGCTTTTGTTATGAGCAGATGGAGGAAAACGGTATTAAGTATTCATTTATTTGCGAGGATGCACAGTGATCTATGAACAGTATTATTTCATTTAAGTGCTGTGTTCGTATTCACTCCCATTTAGCATGTACGTTGACCATGTGTTATGTTCTGATCACTATGATTTGTTTTTTATTTTTATTTTTCTGCCATTACATTGATTACCTGTTTGTCTCTGTGTTTTTTCTGTTGTGTCTGTGATCTTTTTTTTTTTTTTTTTTTTGCAACCTTTTTTGTTTTTCATGTACCTCTGCATGAAATGTGCATGTGCGTGCGTGTGTCTATATGTTTGTGTATTGTTTCACTACCCCGTCCATGCACCCACCCACCAGCAGAGAACCAGGAGGTGTGTGTAGACGGTGAAGCTGCGGTGGGGGGCGTGGCCATCCCAGAGATCAATGTAACGGGCGTGAGCGGTGATCGAATGCCCAACGGGGACTCCCTGCGGCCACGCCCCGATGGCCGTTCCCCGGCAGACGGCGACATGATGGGTGCCACCTCTGAGGTCAGCATGGACCCCCGAGGTCATGACTCCAGCATACGTCTGGAGGTCAGGAGGCAGAAGTCTGTGAGGCGAATGGTGGAGAATGAGGGGTCTGGGTCAGCCTCCACAGGGAGGAACCAGTACTAAGGTCCTACCCCTCCTTCCCCTTGCCCCACTCATGGGGTAACCTAGGTAACCAATTGTGGGGTCGTGGTCTAAAAAAGCTGCATGATCTTTTTTTTTTCTTTCCCCCCCTTTGTACCTGTTTGCGTTGGGTTCTACCCTCCTCTCACTGTGCTGCTCCTCTCATCTGTCTATTAAGCATCATTCATTTTTACTCTCTCCTTTGTGGCTAAAGCTTCTTCATAAAGATCTCCTGCTGGAATTTCTAAAGGGCAAATGAATTATTTAAGATGCCACTGAATAACAGATCAATAACCTAATAAAAAATGCATTAAAGTCAAAGGAATGACATGTGCTTATGATGAGCGAGTTGATGACATTAAAAGCAGAGCATTAATCAGAGAGGGGAATAGTAACGGTGTTAAAATGAGACTTTCCTGATCAGTGAAGGTCACCCCAAAAGCCTATACTCACTGTTAAGTCATGATGACCTTGAATAAAAAGACCTAGATATCTTTGTTAGCATATCGAGGAAACTCCTGTGTTTTCGCCGCAGTTATCAGAGACCTTCTTGGTCTGTTTGCCTCGACACATTACCCCAGGTTGCACCTGGTCACAGATTACTTCCTTCTGACTGGTAGGTAGGAACTGAGAAACGATACGTTGGTCTTGAATTATGTGCTTTCGCCATATTTACATTTAGAATGCAATGAGTGCATATTTGTTTTGAAGAGGTTAAATCTGAGCACGAAAGACTGTAAGTGTAACAAGACCTGCTTATCTGTTTTTCAGCTGTTCTGGTGTTTGTGTCACAGTGGTAGCATCAGATTAGAAATGTGTGTTTGTGAATGTGAAGGTGGTTGGAAGCTCACACACAGTTGTGGATGCATGAATTCAAGAAAACAGGAAAAGTTTTCTTGTGTATTTAGAGTTAGTGAAGAGAGAAAAAATATTTAGGGTGTGCCTTGGTTTGCTTCCCTTACTTTCCCTTCATGGTCTTTCATAGGTTTTGCTCTTAGATGCTGTCCTTTCCTGCTTTTGAGATCAAACATGCACTCCTCTGCCACTAAATTACTGACCGTTGTCTCACAGAGCTGCTGGGTCTCTCAACCTGTGTACTGTACCCGGACTTACTGTTTCTGGTCAGGTGGTGAAAGATTGCAGTGTGAGGTCGCCACCTGCTGGACAGTGATGGACCTCCTCTGTCATCCTGCAGCATGATATTGTGCAAAATTCAAACAAGCCTCTAAAGGATTGATTGGATTAGACTGGATGACAGATGAGGTTCTTCACTTTTGACACATGTGCCGTTTTCTCATGTTTCTCTTGTTTCCTCTCCCCTTGTCTATCTCACAGACGCAGTGGATCTGGGTTCCCCGGATGAGCTGATGGATATTTCGGAGGTGGATGAAGGAGTTTGGCCAGGTGGCGCGGGGCCTGACATGACCCCACCCACCATCACTATCAGCAACAGTGTCACAACATTGAACCTGGGGGCCAAAGCCATGAAGAAGTGTCGGCTTGGCGGGCGGACCAGCAAGGACAAGGACAAGGAGGCGGGCCCTCTGATGCCAGGCCGGGCCGCCAGCGAGAACGCAGAGCTGTCTGTTAAGCGGCTAACGCTCACTTCCAGCCAATCGGTGCCCAAAGCGGGAGCCCTCACCAGCCTGACGCGCACCGCCAGCGCCGTTTTCTCACGCTCCTTTGAGCACGTGGCCAGCGGCAATGCCCCTCCCTCAAGCAACCACACCACCTCCGAAGCCGGCCGCTACTCCTGCAGCCTGCAGGAGGAAGGCTTGGCGTACTTGAGTCCAGCGCCAAATCACACACAGCGCTCCCCCAGCATTAGCGTTCATCTCGGCTCTGACCTTTGAACTCAAGTGTGACTCTTGACTCATCTCTGATCCTGTGACCCCATACCTGTGACCTGGAACTCCAAGCCATGCTAACTGCAGTTGACTGCAAAAGAAACACTCCAGCTGTTTCCCCCTTGTCACTCCATTTTTTTTTTTTAATCTCCC